TAGAGGGGCGGGGTAAAAATCAAATAAATAAATAAATAAATAAATAAATAAATAAATAAATAAATAAATAAATAAATAAATAAATAAATAAATAAATAAATAAATAAATGCTTAACTCTGGCAACAAGCCATAACTGTCCATTACAAACTCTCGCCCAAAGTCTGTTGAACTCAGGGGTGTTGGGCCAAACTTCTCCGCGTCAGTGGGTTTCCGGAGGGGTGCACTCCTTCCTGCACAGATGGTGCCACAGCATGGGTGCCGGGCCCAGTCCCCCCCTCAGGTGGGGTGTGTGTTGAATCTCAAATCCAGACGGATCACCTGCCATCCTCTCCCATTGCCCTTAGGGAATACGGAGGGGTGCACTCCTTACTGCACAGATGGTGCCACAGCATGGGTGCCGGGCCCAGTCCCCCCCTCAGGTGGGGTGTGTGTTGAATCTCAAATCCAGACGGATCACCTGCCATCCTCTCCCTTTCCCCTTAGGGAATACGATTACTGACCACTCCAAGGTCTCGTCACTTGCTTCGCCTGATTCCTTAAGTCCGGGAGCAATCCCCCTAACTTCAGGTTGGGAAAATCTCTTAATAAGTCTTGGGTTTTTACTTTCTCGTATTCTCTTAACCCTTCCAGCTCTCTTTTACCCTTCCATAAGTCCAATTCTACCTCGAACCGCCACTCGCCTTGGCTACTTATACTCTCCTCCCAAACTAACAGCTCTCACTACTCCCCCTTCTGACTCCTGTGCAATTCTACCAGACAAATTTCCACCTTCCTCTTTCTTCCGGCTCTCTCCCCCTCCCCCTCCTCAGTCATGTTTTCCCTTGGGTCTGACTTTAAACCAGCTTTTTCTGGTTCCCATCCTCCCACTCTGCCCTCTGTCTCATGAGATGGCACACTCTTCTTCAGACCTCCTTCCCACACCTGCTGCCCCCTCCCCAACAGAAGACAAGGAGACTTTGCTAGATTTACACACATTGAGGTAGAAAGGAATAAAAAGAACAGCAAAAAAGGCTCAGAGGTATATAGAGGGTCAAGACCTAAAAAAAAGAAAAGACAGAAAATGAGTGTTATAAAGGTCAGAAAGAGGAGAAGAGCAGAAAGGGGGGCTGCTCTGTCCAAGGTCAAGAGAAAAAAAAACTAGGAGCACTTTTGGAGCAGGATTGAGAAGCGCTGGTTAAGTTCACTTCTCATGGCTGGCCTGGGCCAAGAAAGGGATTGACCCATTGTTACAGGGCTCCTTCCAGCAGACAGAGGAATTGGATTTATTTGCTAAGAGTCCAACTCATTACAGCCAATCAATTAATGTTGTGGCCTTATTTAGGGGCTACTGATCTTTGTAGGAAATAATCTTTTCTGGTGCAGTTTTGTTTGCTGTCTATAGTTTGGAAACAGATCTTTGGAGATGTTAATTTACTGATATATGTAAGAGAATTATGATTATGACTATGAGTTAGACATTTTTCTCCCACTGTCTTATGAATGGATTATCCTTGTTAATTGTTATCCTCTGGAATAACCTTCCTCTGGCGATTCGTGCGGCCCCTACGCTGGGCACTTTTAAGAGCCAATTAAAAACATGGTTGTATGTCCAGGCCTTCCCTCCTGTCAACACCTAATTTCTCTTCTTTATTTATTATTTCCTTTATTCTCATATATGTCACAGTCTGTCTGTAATATCTTTATTATTTATTGTATATGTTCCTTTTTATTGGAAGCCACTCAGAGTGGTCTACTCGACCAGATGGGCGGGATATAAATCAAATAAATAAATAAACTGTTCAGCTATCTCCCAGTAAAACCTATTACTCTTCTTTGAAAGGCATAGAGTACTGTACTTAGGTGTGTTGCTTGACTCTTTTACTTCAAGGTTTACTACTGCCCCTTTTGCTCCAAGATTTGACTTCAGCAACAATTGGCTTAAACGCATTGGCCTCTTTTAGTGAAAAAACCCCGTTCCTCCCCTGCTTTAGACTCCGTCTCCCCTTTAAACTGAGTTTCACTGTAAAGTCTAAAAGCTGGAGTCTAATTGTGTATGAAAGGAACCAAAGGAGGAGTGCTGAACTATTTTGATAATTGACTGAATGCAGTACAGCAGAGGGAAGGAACTTCAAGTCATTGGATATCCAAGTGGTGCCCCATTCTCATGGGAAGACAGATGGGGCAGGATGAATCCTTGGGAAGGCAAGTGGGGGGAGAGGTGGGAAGCATATATTGTCAGAGACTGAGAAAGCAACAGACTTGCAAGCTCAGGAAGATAAGTGGGCTGAGGGGATACAATTATCTAACTTTGCTCTCCTCTCACCTTTCACTGTGTAGGACTTAACTGCAGGATTGTGGCAGCTGAAAAACAGGAAAGAGGCCACAGATTCCCTCAAACACAGATTGAAGAAGGTCCATTAAATTGTCATAAACTAAAATAAGAAAGCAGTCGGATGTTAAATATTATATGTTATGATCCTGCATGTCATTGCAAGGGAGAAAACCAGACTTTGACTTCCCCTTCTGTTAGCCACCTAGAAGACCCCGGCAACCACCAAAGAAACAGGCAAAGAGGCTTCAGCAGACAGATAACCTGGAGCAGAGAATGTGGCACAACATCAGAAAAACTAAGATCATGACCACTGGTCCCATCATCTCCTGGGAAATAGAAGGGGAAGATATGGAGGCAGCGACAGATTTTACTTTCTTGGGTTCCATGATCACTGCAGATGGAGACAGCAGCCACGAAATTAAAAGACGCCTGCTTCTTGTGAGGAAAGCTATGTTTTTTCCTGTAGTGATGTATGGAAGTGAGAACTGGACCATAAAGAAAGCTGACCGCCAAAGAACTGATGCCTTTGAATTGTGGTGCTGGAGGAGGCTCTTGAGAGTCCCCTGGACTGCAAGGAGAACAAACCTATCAATTCTAAAGGAAATCAAACCCGTTGCTCACTGGAAGGACAGATCCTGAAGCTGAGGCTCCAATACTTTGGCCATCTCATGAGAAAAGACTCCTTGGAAAAGATCTTGATGTTGGGAAAGTGTGAAGGCAAGAGAAGAAGGGGATGACAGAGGATGAGATGGTTGGACAGTGTCATTGAAGCAACCAACATGAATTTGACACAAATCCGGGAGGCAGTGGAAGATAGGAGGGCCTGGCGTGCTCTGGTCCATGGGGTCACAAAGAGTCGGACACGACTAAATGACTAAACGACGACGATATGAAACATCACATCCTTTTGCTCTCTGGCTTTTGATGCTTTGACATACAATGCACAATGTCAAGGCAGGCCACATCCCTTTGGAAGACACTTTGAAAACAACCCACAACAGGTATGATCAAGCTATGAGTATTGGAACACTCACTGGTTCAAATGGATAGAATTTTATATTCCAGTTCAGCTCAATTTTTCACGCTTCTAACGTTATGTTTGTTCTATACCATGTCCACATCAGCTTGCAGTTTTCCAAAACTAAAACCAAGAAATAAAAATTCTTTAAGAAATATGTTTTCCCAAATACATTGGATATTTTAGATAATAAACAGATTCTTTGTCTGTGTTTACAGTGGTGCCCCGCATGACGACGACCCTGCAGAACAACGAAATTGCATGACAATGACTTTTTTGCGATCCCTATAACGATTGCAAAACAATATTTCCTATGGGGGATTTTTGTTTGACAACGATTAGGTCCTTGCTTTGTGAAACGTTTGTTTGCAAAATGATGATTTTTCTGACTCTGCAAAATGGCTGCCCTGTGTTTTCTGGACCCATGCTTCGCAGGGCAGCCATTTTAATGGCTGATCGGTGATCCGAAAATGGCTTCCCCATAGGCAATCTTCGCTGCACAACAAGGTAATTTCCCCATTGGAACGCATTAAATGGGTTTCAATGCATTCCAATAGGGATTTGTTTTTCGCATGATGACGATTTTGCTTAACAGCGATTTTCCTGGAACGGATTATCGTCGTCATGCAGGGCGCCACTGTATTATCTAAAATATCCAATGTATTTAGGAAAATATTGTTTATTAGAAAAAAATTATACACCTTTTATAAATTCTTTTGGAATCTAAAAGAACAATTTTAAATTTTTTAATAAGAAAAAAAGAAAACACGTGTATGCGCTTTCCCATACATAACACAATTTTGTACACACTTGTCCAAATTTATACTGTATACACTTATGTGCATATATTTGAAATACGCACATTTTTATAAAACATCCTGTGCAAACATTCCCCAATAGAGATACTTTTCTACACACTATCTGATTTGTGAACTGGATTGAAACAGCCCAGTAAGAAATCAGTTCTTTATTACAAATAATCTGGAAAACAAAATGGGTAATAAAAAATTACGGCAAGTTAGAACTTCAGGAAAAAGGATAACATCCAAATGATGGGTCAAAAGCCCACATGATGCATTACACAGATGCTTTCACCATTAGCTCTGGCAGCCCAAAATGGTCAGTATGCTGGAAAACTGAATGAAGTCATTACACAAATTCTGGAATTCTTCCTCTTGGCATTCATCATCATCTGGCCATCTCTCAATCCAGGTATCCTTGCTGATCAAGTAGTTAATACTAGAAAAGAGAAAGGAGGGAGATTTGTACTGTATCTTTGCTATATGGGCTGTTCAAGTATATAGTTGTACAACCCAGCATGTATGTATGTGTATATGTTTGTATGAGAAAGATTAGACTGTATTATTTGCATGGTGGAGCATTTTGACCAATCAGATTCTGTCTGGCATTAGCCAATAGATGTTAAAAGGATTAACTGCCAGCTGGGCAAAACCAGTGACAGATATTATTCAGTTAGTAGTCTGATAGTGTAGTCACTAGAGTCTACACACTAGACTCTAGTGTACTCTGGAAGTTGAGATGTCTGTTAGAATTAGCTACTATGCCTGATAAAGAAGATAATACGCCAGTATAAAAATAAGTCAAGCACAAGTTTATGTATCAAGTACAAAGATTTTTAGCAGTTAGTTTATTCATATATAGTTTACAGTTAACGTTCTTCAATTTTAACTAAGACTATGTAAATTTTATTTCAATTGCTGGCACATACAAGGAAGAATACCATTCATGATCTGTGTGGTTTTTTATGTTACACGTAAACCACTGTGTTCAAACTCTTATACATTTCAACATGGGTAAGCAGGTCATACGGGTACTATGGAGGCACCTATTAGGGCTGGATCAAATTGACAATGACTATGTTTCAAAGATTTCAGATTTCAGATTCCACACTGCCACTCAAATTGCCAGATTTGTCTCATATGTTTCAAAGATTTCAGATTCCACACTGCCACTCAAATTGCCAGATTTGTCTCTTCATTGTATTTTGGGTGAATGAAGCAAATTTATTATGATGGGAATAGAATTAGAGCAAGCAATTTTCTTTTTGTTTTTCTCTGAAATGTCTGTGTTTTCTTTTTTTAATTTAGAGAAATTCAATTTAGAATTTGGAGAAATTCAAAATGACTACACAAACACAGAAAAAAAAACCCATGGATTTCTTTACCACCCGGAGCGGGCACCATTACAATTGACATCAACCGAAAACCTGTCAGAAGGAAGAGAACTCTTTGGGAGCCCTGAGACAAACTGCCTCAGGATCAATCTGTCCCATTAGACAAGATAAGACAGTGGGATTCCAGCAATCCTCTGGAAGCAATCCTGTGGTTGTGCCTGCTCTCAGGTGTCCTATTTCTCTTGCCCCACACAGTGAAAATCTTTTTGTATACTGTTCCCATCCAGTTAGACAGAAGGGGTGGATGAAAGGAATCCACTAATTTGCGCACCTAAACACTTCTTAGGAAGGTGAGTGAGGTGTGCTGGAATTCCTATCTTATCTCCCATCAGAGACTAAAGATAAGACAATTTCCACTCCCTCTTGCCTTCCTATTTGCCAAGGCTAGCAATGAGCAAAGCAGTCTTCCCATTCTAGAAGGTAGGTAGGCCAGACAGGCTTTTCCCTTGAGCTGCACAAAAATGTACACTTTTACAGTTGCTTCTCTTGGCAGCTCATTGCCTTTGAAAGGTTCAGGATTGGGACCCTCATCAAAACATCACGGTGGTTGAAGCAAACTTGTTTGAAATATAAAGCCATGCTTTGCAATCCGGTGCAGGTTTAATCAGCAGTAAGACTCAATGAATTCAATAGGGTTGAATCCCAAGTAAAAAATCATTAAGAAACTGTTACATAATATGGATTTAAAAGTTGGCTAAGAGTCATTTACAAAACCATAATATACTTTCAAAGTACCAGGACAATTCCATGAACTGTTGGTCAAATTGTTCTTTTTCGCTTCCCAGGCTCAGAGCCTACAGTTATCAGCTGGTGCACTTTTATGCATCCTAAGTTTAGCTCCTCTCATCTTAATATGAAGAGAAAAACTAAAGGGGAGAAATGGCTGTTCTGATGGGTCACAGCAAACACCTATAGCCCAGCTAGCACCAGAGACTAAGATATTTCAGGTTTGTCACATGAGGCAACTGTGGGTTCAAGCCACCCTAAATAAAGTTGGAATGCAAAACAAGAAGGAGCCTTTCAATTAGGAGGCTAGAATCTAGGAACAGTCACTTTAGAAGAGCCTAGCTGAGGAGAATAAACCGGCTTTTAAATGGAGCTTTAATGCAGAATACCTCACTAGGCAGCCAAGAATCCTGCAAGTACCTTAGTTTTATGTTTTTTGTTTTCTTGGCTGGTGGTTGTGGTTTTCAGAGCTGGAGTGCAACTCTTCGTGGCATTTTGGCACTCGTTGTTAGGCCCTCTAGGGAACCAACCAAGGAAAAGCAATCTATCCACCCAATAAGTCAATGGAATGAAATACATACGTATCTTTTGTTGGCCACATATCAGTGCTGAGACCCCAGATCAGATAGTCCTTGTTCTCCTGCAGGTGGAGGGATTCTCTACATTTCATCTGACTGATAAACTTGCGAGGACTGGCTGCTGGATTTGGGTCACTCCCTGAAGGAATCAGACAAAACATTATAATGGGCTGATCTGTTTAGTAGCTGGTAAAAGGGATCATGGGGGGAAATCAATGGGAAGAAGATAGAAGGGGAGCCTTGTATAGAGGTGTGATTTTTCTTCTACTCTCCTTGGGTGCATATATATTTATTTACTTGAATAATCAAGTCACTGCATGTCCACTCTTATTACATTTGCCCAGGTGCACAGCCTTCCCTCTTCTTCTAGTATGAAAGAGAAGTCAGATGGTCAAAAAAGCCATTGGGTACTTTTGGCATTAGCAAGGGGTTGTCTAGATTAGGAGTTTCCAAAGTACGGCCCGCAGGCCACATCCAGCCTGCCTTGCCTTTTTATCCAGCCCGGATGGGCAGGAGTGCATGTGTGCAATTGGGAGTGCAGGTGGGAAGGCCTATGGGCGGGCATACGTGTGAGTGTACCTGTTCCTTTGGCCATTGAAAATATGGAAATTATATTATGTGGCCCTCACTGTGAAAAGTTCAGAGACCCCTGGTCTAGATGGCCTCTTTGGAGCAAGCAGGGTCGCTAGGAGTTGCAGTATGTCATTTGCTGCAGTCCTTGCATCCAAATGATATATGGACCTCAAGTGACTATTTTGCCCTCACCAGCCTGCTGTCAATGTTTCAATATTGTGTAGAGCAGTGGTCCTTAACCTTTTCAGAACTGTGGACTGGTTGGAGGCGGGGTCTGTGCATGGCAAGACAGGGGCACCCCTCGCGCTCATGGGTGGGCATGGTTCACATGCGTGAGTGAGCATGGCGTGCTTGCAAGGATGGACGCAGAGAAGGTTTCCATTAGTAGAAACAAATTTGAACCCATTTGTCCTCACTTTCTGCTTCCTTCACCTCATAATTTTTCACACACCTAACTCTCTTGAATAGATTTAAAGGAAGCCACTGGAGAGAGGGAACACAGGTACAAATTGCATCTTCCCCGGTTTGGTTGACAGACATCTAGGTCCTATAGTGTCAGTACACTTATTTGGATTCCACTCCCATTAGTGCCCCAGCATTACTGTGGGTGGGTTACAACTCATAAAATAGAAAATAAAAATAAAAATAAAAATATTAAAACCAATAGCAATAACCCTAAAAACAAAAAAAGGGTCACAATTAATCCCAAAGCGGATGGAGGAAAAGGGGGGAGGAAAGAAGAGTAGGGGAAAGAAAAAAAGAGTTGAGGAAGATGGTTGGCTGGGGTTGGTGTGGAAAGCCTCCCGGAAAAGCAGTGTATTTAATTGCTTCCTAAAAGTCCACAGGGAGGGGGCTAGGCGGAGCTTCTCTGGAAGCTGGTTCCATAAGGCTGGAGCCAAGAAGGCCCTAGCTCTTGTAGAGAACTTATGAGTCTCCCTCAGGGTAGCCACCCGGAGGAGCCTCAACTGGGATGATCTTGTGGGTTGGGCAGATGACATTAAGGAGAGATACTCTGGCAAGTGACATGGGCCTAAACCATAAAGGACTTTGTATGTGAGTGCCAAAACCTTGAACTTGATCTGGGATGTCACGGTCAACTGGTGGAAGCAAGCCAGAACTGGAGTGATGTGTCAAATTTACTTGCACCAACCACCAGTCTGGCTGCCGCATTCTGGACCCATTGAAGTCTCTGGATCAGGTTCAAGGGAATTCCCCACGTAGAGGGCATTGCAGTAGTTGATCTGGGAGATGACTAGGGCCCGTACCAAAGTCCTGAGGGAGTCCTTGTCTAGGTAGGGGTGAAGTTGGGCAATTGGCCTATGCTGGTTAAAGGCTGATTTGGGCACGGCTGCAATCTGGGACTCCCAAGAAAGAGCCGGGTCCAGAAGAATGCCCAAATTACGCACTTGGTCCCTAAACTGGGAGGGGAGTACCATCCAGCCTAGGGACCATCCCCCCTAACCTTTCCGAGGTCCCCCTACATCTGGCTGCATGAGTGGCTCTACCTTTTGCAGACTCATGCAAGGAGCTGCCATGAGGTTTCCATGCCTTCTCCTACCTGATGCTCTCCCCTTCTCCATTGATGGCATTTCCTTGTCATCATTGCCTAGCTGATCTCCGTCTTAGAAGTGCCAGCTGCACCAAGTGACCAGCATGCAGTTGCATCCCAGCCCTGCTTAAAAACACACTGGTCCTTAGAGAGGCTGGTGCTTCTGCAAAGTGGGAGACCAGCCAAGCAGCAACAACAAGCAACTCTCCTGCCATGAGCAAGAGGGGAGGCAATCTAGTGTAGCTGTGTGGTAATGCTGAACTGGATCTGGACTAGAACTGCCACTGGGTCAAAGAGGCTTCTACCAACATAGGGATACACCAGATACAACCCAAAGTTTTTATGTGTGGTGATGGTGTTTTGAAAGTGACCAAACTCATGGTCAATAAGTTATAAATGCTCCCTGGGCTTCAATAATGACAAACAATAACATCTCACATGATCTCTGGAGTGATATATTGCACCCTCATATGATGCCTTTGAGAGGTTTTGGCCGAGAGGGTATTGCAGGGAATACCAAACAGCTTAGTACATAGCAGCCAATTGTTTCCTTCTCTATCTCGAGTTATTTCCCCACCATTTTCAGTCAGGAGGGTTCTGTCATTTGATTTTAGAATTATGGATTCAGAAGTGAACAGTTAGACTGCGGTGTCCTGTCAGCGATGTAACCAGTTAATAATGAAGTAAATTAAGCAGCTAAGCTTTCTAATGCAGCAAGTTAACATTTCCACAACAAACGTTACTTTTTATATAAGAACCATGAGTAAAATGAAATGAAATAAGCCGCCTAAAGTGGTCATATCGACCAGATTAGAATTATGGATTCAGAAGTGAACAGTTAGACTGCGGTGTCCTGTCAGCGATGTAACCAGTTAATAATGAAGTAAATTAAGCAGCTAAGCTTTCTAATGCAGCAAGTTAACATTTCCACAACAAACGTTACTTTTTATATAAGAACCATGAGTAAAATGAAATGAAATAAGCCGCCTAAAGTGGTCATATCGACCAGATAGGCGGGGTATAATAATAATAATAATAATAATAATAATAATAATAATAATAATAAGAAGAAGAAGAAGAAGAAGAAGAAGAAGAAGAAGAAGAAGAAGAAGAAGAAGAAGAAGAAGAATGTTTTATTCTTATTCAACACAAGAGATGCATACTGTAGATCCACGTGACCTCGTTTAGTCTGCTGCAGTTCATCCCAGAGAGACTGCATAGACAAGCCGTTGGTAATGCCAACAAATGTTTTATTCTTATTCAATCTGAATCTATTGAGACTATATCGCCAGTTGAGGTAAAACATATAATTATAATAATCTGCTCTGTCGGTCCCTGTCTGGATTTTTTTTTCTCCACTGTGTAGCTAGAGGTTTTAAGTCAGCAATTTCCACACTCTGCCAAATATGAAGGAGAAGCAAAAGGGAAGAAGAAATTAGCTTTCCAGGGATCTGTGCAACAGATTGGCTTTCCAGATGTTTTAGATGTTAACTTCCAGAAACTCTAAGGATCAAAAATTTCCACTCTTTTTGTACAATATAAAACTGAAAATCAGTGACCTAGACTGATGTGAACTTTCAAATTAGTTGTGAATCAATGCAATGTTTCTTCTGTGGTATCCATGATAATGGGTTCCTTCAAAATACATATCCTTACCTCCTTTAATAACTTCCACAACTTCCATGAAGTAGTTGTCATAACCACTGTCTTCTTCTATTCGAATCAGCTTGGTTTTGTACACTAAAGAGCAAAGAGAGAAAAGTTAAAATGTTTGCATGCTTTTCGCCATGAAGACCTCACCTCCTTAACCGAGGGGGAGACTTGAACTGCTGGATAGGTCGGTGATTTAGGCAGAGGTTGGGATTTCGACTCCCTGCTGTGCCAGCTTAACAGGGGCTGGACCTTATGATCCATAGGTCCCTTCTAGCTCTTGCAATTCTAAGATGATGATGGTGATGATGATTACAAATGCCAGACAATCAAAATTATAAAAACATTTACGGTATTACATAACAGATATAAGTTTTAACCAAAAACCTATCTATTAAATATAGATGTACAGTAGTTTACTGTATATGTTGTTCCTACTACTGCTGTTTTTCGTTGCTCTGATGGTGTTATTTCTGAAATTTGCTGCTGATTATAATACTGTGTGAAATTTTGTGGTATTGGTCACAAAGCCTCGATGACAGTGGGGACCAACAAGTATGTTTCATCCACAAGTGAGATGTTTGAATTGCCAGATCTCTGTATTTTGTTAGTTTTTCCTATTCTTTAATTTCAACTCTAGGATCCCCTGGAATTGCAATGTCAATGATCCAGACATTTCTCCATTCTATTAAATACTATGTCTGGTGTGTTATGTTCAAGTTGTCGATTAGTTTGAATTTGGAAATCCCAAAATATCCTGACACCTTCTCTACCTGAGGTTCCCATGGGTTTTTGGAGGCTCGCCATTTTTTTTTGCATAATGATCAGTGCACTAATTTTGCCACTCTATCATGTCTGTTTTTGTAATATATGCAGTCTTTGGACATTCACAGATGTGACACAGTTTCAGCTTTTTCTTGGCAGAGTTGACACAGTTTCATATCATCACCATCATTGTTGGTGCTGCTGAAGTTTCTGTACAGATTGTGCACTGTATATTTTGGTACCAATAAATCCAGAGATTTTTCATTTATCCAGATCTAATTCCGAGAGCCAGTCTGGTGTAGTGGATAGACTGATGGACAAGAACTCAAGAAACCAAGGTTCAAATCCTTGTTTGGCCATGAAAACTCATGGGGAGGGGAGTGGCACTAATAATAATAATAATTGCATGCCATCAAGTTGATTCCAACTTATGGCAACGCTTTTTAGGTAGAGAATATACTGAAGCAGTTTTACCATTCCCTTCTTCCAGGTGCACCCTGGAACTGTGCAACTTGCCCAAGGCCACACAGGCTAACTCTTCTCCCAGTAGACACTGTGAAGTATCGAACCCCCAACCTCTGGATCTGCAGGCAGATACTGAAACCACTGAACTATTCAGGCAGTTGGCACTAATAAAACCTCACTTAAATATCTCACATATCTTGAAAATCTTATTAGAGTTACTGTAAGATGGATGCAAGTTGATGGCACATAAAGCCACAACTTTGGAACATGAGCTGTAGTGGTACATCTGAAATCTGATAGGCACAAGTAGCAGCAGTGTCGTGGCCTTAGAAAAGAGTACTGTGGGTCTATTTATAGAAGGCGCTCATCAAGGGCAGACTGCAGGGAGGCAGTCCGCCAAATCTGCCAGGAAGAATTTTGAAGCACTGGCCTGGAGCACTAGTTTTTGGTTAGTGTGATAACCATCAATATTCAAATATAGCCACTAGCTCCTTTACAGAATTCAGCAATCTAGACAGCCATTACCATAGTCTACTTCTGGCTTGCAGCCTAATTCAACTCGAATCTGCAGATTAATATCTTCCTTCATCTTGCTGAGCAATGAGCAGCTTTCTTTGGGAGAAGAACACACAAAAAGAAAGAAAAAGAAGATGCTGAGCATTTAAGATACAGTATATCAAAGAGGAGTTTTGTTCAAGCTTCCTGTCATTCTCTTATCAACCTTAAGTTTAGTGGGGGAGAGGGTTAAAGGAGAGAAACCAGGAACTCAGAATCTTACTGAGTAATGCAATGAACTTAGTGAATGTCCATTAACAGTTTCAAACTACTTGGGGTGCATATTTGGACAAGGTACATCCCAAGTTCCTTTAAACAGTAATTTCTAAGCTCTGACCCTTCTGGAAGGCTACTTCCTTTTCTCCTCTTTCCTACTCAGTCCTTTCTGCTTTTTTCTCATTACGAGTACCACTGTACCCACTAACTGTAGGAGTTGCAGGCAAAATCTCCTCCAGCAGGTTCTCCATGAATTCAAGGCCTGTCAAACTGTCCAAACTGGCTTTCATTGAATCCAAGGAAGGGGCTGCAGAAAAGGCAGGAGAGACAACAGCCTCCTCTCAATCTTCTATTTGATGTGGGGCTGAGCTTCCAGCACTAGCCCATCCCCTTGAGAAGTTCTGTCACCTCCAGACCCTGGGTCGTTTCCACTGGGATTTGAAGCTTGGTGATGTTTGGTGAGAAGTCTCTCACTTTCTGTCTCCTCAGAGTTTATAGACTCTGAACAGTCACTTCCTCCAACCCATGGCCTAACCCTTCCCAGGCAGCAGTTGACACACTCTTTTTTTGTCTTCTCAAATGCTAAAACATGTAGGGTACACTGTAGAGCGAGGCTGCCACTGCTGTCAGCATACTGAGTTTCCCAAAGTGCCTCTGGCTCAACAAGTGCCCTGGAGTCCTTCTGGGGAAAGAAACATGTTGAGTGCAATAACTCTTTAATTAGTGATCACTTACCTCTGCAGTATCACTCCTGTTCTACCAGAGGAGCTACAAAACAGCCATGAGTTACATCACATTTCAGACACATTTTACCTAGACTGCAGACATCAGCTGAGATCACAGTTTCACTAGCACATATGGAAAAGAACTAGGAATCGTATTGGGTACTTATCATATCTGGCTACTCCACTACTTCATTATACTTGTTCTCATATTACTGGATGTGAAGAAGGAAAGTCCTTTTCTGAGTGCAAATTGTAGTGTGACCTATTTGTATGGCTATTTACTTTCCAGAAAGATTTCACAGCTCTCTGGAATGGAAAAATTGCTGCTTTTATCAAATAATACAAGGGATTTAAAAAATGGAGCTCCAACAAAGATCAAATTTTGCAGTAGCAATTTAGTTGAGCCTGTACCTGACCCAGGTAATAGGAACCCTATGCCTATTCCAGATCACAGATCAGCCTCCTCCAACCTGGGTCCTTCCAGAAGTTTTCAATTATGTCATTAACCCCAACCATAAACATCAAGGGTCAAGGATTATTTGAACTTTACTCCAAATATCTGGTTGGTGTTAATCAGGTCCAACGTTTTAAGTATAAGGGTACACTGGGCAAAAGAGATGTGGACATGCGGATTGGACTGGTGGAATGGACTACTCATCTGTGACATGTCCTGCCTATGGAATGGCATTGAGGAAGTCTTTGGATTGTTTCATAACAACACAGTGGACTGTTTCCTGTTGGCAAAAAGACTGAGGATTCCTCCCAGCCTGAACTTGTGCATGATGAACCAGATATGCAACTGCTGTGGCAACAAGGGTCTGGCTGATAGCATGCTACACTCATATTGTGTGCTGCAGGACAAAAGGATGATTTACTTCCTTGGAAAAATGAAAGGTGGCACAATGCACTATTTCTCCCAGTTTACCATCTACCAATACAGAACTGAATTTTAGGGGTGCAGGTAAGGAAGCCAATCAAGAGGCAGGGAAATTAGGGGCATCAGTGGAGCAAAAAGCAACTGTCACTTGGGACAAGGAAACACATTCGTTCACACTCACATTCATATTCAACATGCAGATGATTTTCAGTTCAGTTTTTCTCATGTGATTTTTACTTTTGCAGATTTTGACTGTTTGGAGGCCTTTTGGCCTTAGCTTGTCTTGATTCTAAGATAAGTTTCAGTTTTCACAATGGGCTCAACTACTTCTTCTGGGAGATTCTACACTTCTGTTACTGTCTTTTATTTATTCCTTTTGCACACACGCACAAACTTCACTACTTTTATATTTTTTTCCCTTCTGATTTCTTGTATGTGAATTTTCCTGGATTGATTCTTCTGCACATTCCCCTGAGTCTTGAAGAACCAGTTCCTCTTTCTCAATCTTTAGGCCAAAGACTTGAACATAATGTGCATCATCTAGAAGGCTGGTGGAAAGTTTGGGGCAAATATAGTGTTTTATAAAAGACTAGCTGTAGCTATTCTTGCATAATAGTCATATGATTCTTTAGTACAGCTTGTTCTGTTTTGCACTTTTCATCTCACTGCTTTGTATTGTGTCAGAATACAATTGATGTTCCTTTGATTTCTTTTCTATTCTGCCTTTATCTTGTGAATTTTATTCCCTGTTTATCTGATGTGATTCAACTATATCTTCAAATAAATTTCACCTGTGGATAGCACCAGGTCATATCTGGTTACACCTTTCATCCACTGGAGCAAATAAAAGACCTCATTTCCTGTGAGAGCCAGACTGTACAAAGCTGACACTGGTAACATATCAGATGAAACACAATAAACCAGAGATCTAACATTACATGGTAACATATACGCACACATGCCTCTGAAAGGAATTTTATATATGTATATATATCTTGCATTTGGGTGAGCAGAAGCAATATCTCTTCACCCCACCTTACCTTCTGCACACCGGCAAACATCCCCATGGCATATCTTACTGAGCATGGCACTTCCTTTGGCTGGATGGTAGAATTTGGTACACTCCTCATCTGAAAAGAGGAAAGAAAAGATTCATCGCTGTCTCACATTGACAAGTCTACACAGGTTGTCATTTCATACTTTGATAGGAAATCTCAAAAGGAAAATCCTTGAAAAGGACACAAAGTTAGGCAGATAGACCATTTCTCCCAGGGCGAACATTAGAAACACATCCAGCTGACTTCGTGTAACCAAAAGGAAGCCAGATAGCTGAACAAAGGGTCTTTAAGCAGATACTCAAGGGGAGAGTGGTACCCCATGCCTTTACATTGCTCTCAGTTGGAGTCCTTAGCTAGGATCCTTCGGTAATTACACATTGGTCTCAGCTGAGCCCTTAACTGAAACACTACATTCTGGAGGAATCCTGGTGTACCTTCTCATCCCCAAAATACTTATTTGTTGGGATCCACTAGAGGCTAGGAGCTTTCAAACTAGCCTTCCAGCCACATGATACCTACCCGTAATATATAAGACTCAGACGTTGCACTGGAAATGTACAATATCACGATTTCATGCAAGGATCTGAAAAGTGAAGTTGCAGGCAAATGTTTTCCTTAGACCTTGTCTGCATTTGGGTAAAATGGCTTTGGAAGCCAGACGAAGCCTCCAGGTCACCAGATTATTTGCCTTGGCCCTATAGTCTTGCAAGAGAAATTGGGACAGCACTTGCCTAACCAAGCAGCACCAGCTTTGGGGAGCTGCCACTGGAAACAGCAAAATGCCTTGGTCTTGCCTATCCAGCTCAGCAAAAATATTTATTGGAAATAAATAAATAAATAAATCAAACAAACTCACATTCCATGCTGCAAGAAAGAGTGGACTGGACAACCCACATTTAAACTGCATTCCTGCCTGCTGGGCACAGAAACCCTATGCTAGAGAGTTGGGGAAATCAGGGATCAAGTTCCTCTGCTCTTATTCCTTGCCCTTGGGTGAAAATTCCAACTGGTGAGTTAGGACAAAGCAGCCTAGAAGCTGAAGGCTGTTTTGAAACTGGGGCAGAGCTGGTCCCTTATCCCATCCCATATTTTTAGGAGAGTCCCTCCTCAGCTCTGTACAGTGGACCCTCGACTTACAGACTTTTCGAGTTACAGACTTCTCTGGCCGCAAAATTTAGATTCGACTTGCAGCCGGAGAATCGACTTACAGACCAGAAAAAAAACCAAAATGGAACAAAAATAGAATAAAAACTGCCAGTTATGGGATTAATCGGTTTTCAATGCATTGTAGGTCAATGGAGATTCGACCTACAGATTTTTCGACTTGCAGCCACCGTTCCAATACGGATTAATTCCGTAAGTAGAGGGTCCACTGTATTTGTAAAATGAAGCAAAAAAACCTGGGTCTGGAGGCTCAGTAAATTTCTGCAACATCTTACCTAACTAGTATTTCAGTATTTGAGCAGCATTGTAGAGATTTCACAAGAGTCTTTACCTAGATTATAATAGCTGTACACCTTGACTGATCCTGGCTGTACGAGACCAACTTCATAATACTTGAGAGCTTTAAATACTAGGCATTCATCCTCCCTGTGGGAGACCTGTGAAGATCAGAGAAAAGAGAAGATAAGTCTTTGACCTCCAGACCTCCAGCGGGGAAGAGTCTTTCCTTCCTCTGAGCGATCTTGAGGAAATCCTTCCATCGTTCAGTTCAGGGTGGATGTCCAGGCTTGGCAGGACAGCTCAGTCAAGCTTCTAAAGCCACAATCAGAATAAAATCAAAACTTCTGTGACACATTTGAGACTAAGAAATGTATCTCATTGTGATCTTTCATGAATATCTTTCATGAGTCACAATCCCTCAGACACAGAAGCTGACTGAAATCTACAAAAGCTCAGTCTGAAATGCATTTGTGAGTTCTCAAGGATGCCACAAGAGCTTTGTCTCTTTTTTTATTGTTTCAGAAACACACTGACATTCTCTCAGGAGAAGCTGTTCAAAGGGATCCAATGTTCATGGGGTTTAAGGGCATAGAAGGAATGTCGTAAGTGTGGCAACAATCAGCAGATTAAAATAATCATTATAGTCTTAGAAATGCAGAGCTGGTAGGAAAATAGTCTGTCAGTCAAGGCTCACCAACAACCTGTCACACTTACATTCCAGTCATATATTGTGCCACTGACACATTACTGAAGAAAACCGTTTCTTAACAAATAAACATCCATCACGTCTTCTACGGTTCATAGATATCCTTGCCACAAATGCATACTAGGGATTCCCTGGCTCTGGCTTATGCCCAGCCAAGCCAACTTCATCTTCTACGGTTCATAGATATCCTTGCCTCAAATGCACACTAGGGACTCCCTGGCTCTGGCTTATGCCCAGCCAAGCCAACTTCTTTACATTCACACTGCTCAACTTTCCTTGATCCTGTAATACTGGTACTGCCTCCTGGTGCTCACACAACAGGCCTAAACCCTGTACAGTATCAGAGATTTCAAGGGAGGTTTACAAGGCCACAAGATGGTAGTACTGTATATTTTTCTCATGATTTGCTCCAGTGCAGCATCTGCTCATGTAATAATGTGTTGTTCCATGCAGATCCATGCACCTTTGTAGATGTATGATATCTGATGAAGTTTTCCTGTGAGTATTTTTTCTGTTGATCAATATCCACCTCTCCACACACCATGGGCAGGTAAAACAAGGAAGGAGAGAGTGAAGTAAAGTGGTGAAAGAGCTGAAGATAGACAAAACAACAAGTTACCTCCCTGTAACTGTGGTTCTTCAGGTCGTCTTCTGTGGAATCACACGGATTATCTGCCTCTGCACAGAGCCTGTTTGGAACCCTCCCAAGCTGAGTACTGTAGTAGCCTTTAAGCGGTAACCCTCTCACTGTCCTGGTGGCACATATATCTCCTCCCAGTACTAACCCCTTAGTTCCCATCCTCTGACAGACTGATGAAAAGAGACACAGAGTGTTGGATGAGAGGTCTGTCTACTGGAGTGAGCAGAGAATGTTGACACTGAGCGTTGACACTGTTGACACTGAGACTGTGGTGAAAGAGGGAATCAGGGCTGACAAGCATGAGCCCAAGGACTTGGAGAGACTGTTCCCAAAGAAACAAAGTCAAGTCTGTTTACTGGAGTGAGTAGAGAATGTTGACACTGAGCATTGACACTGTTGACACCGAGACTGTGGTGAAAGAGGGAGTCGGGGCTGACAAGCATGAGCCCAAGGCCTTGTCAGCACTTTGGAGAGACTGTTCCCAAAGAAACAAAGTTTCAACTGTTTTAGTCTGCAGCCTCCTTTGGAGAAAGCTGTGCCAATCAGACAGGGCTGGGAGAGATGGGTCTCTTCTGAGACAGGGTACTCATTTTGAGTTACAGTAAGTGGGAGACATACTGCTCCCACAAAAGTTGCATTTCTTGAACGAGGCCTTGGGGCCATACGCATGGGCAGAGGCCACAAAGCGGAATAAACAAATCAAGTGTGATGGTCGAAAAATAAATAGGGTAATAAATGAAAATAAAGGTGAGTACTTTATAGGACAAATTAAACAGGAAGGGAAAAGGGAAATGAAGAGAGAAACTAAATACTCAGCAGATTTCCAAACTGCTGACACTCTGGTGGTGGACAAAGAGAAACTGAGAGGTTAGGGCTGAGCATTATTATATATGCTGGAGAAGGGTGGGTAGGGTGGATTACTACCAAATGGCTATTACTCAGCTTGGAAGGGTTCCCAACAGGCTTTGCACAGGGGCAGATAACCTCTCTGTGTGATCCACAGAGAACATGAAGGAGAAGGAGAAAGCAATCTGTGCTGGGAATGAGATATCAGGGAGCAATTCTGGATATGTGTGGACAGTCCATACTAAGGTGATCCAGTGCATCCCAATTCACCAAACCCCTCTCCATGTGTAGATGCAAATGTTGGGTTGGTATCTTCAGATCCTCAATACAAAAAAGAAGAGAAGGATCCGGAATAGCCAAAGATGCTACTGTGTGACCAAGCACATAGGACCTCTCCATAACCCTTTTACCTTGTCCAAATAAATGATGAGGTTCCCTCTGTCAGTCATAACGTTGTCAACTTCAAACTTGGAGATGTATCTGTCGACTCCTTCAGAAAGCTAAAACATTGAAAGGAAATGTGAAGTTGTCTTTACAGTTCATTAGCAAGTTCAAAGACCCTTGGGAGGTACAGTGGACCCTTGACTTACAGATGGCTTGACTTACAGACTTTTTGAGTTACAGACTTCTCTGGCCGCAAAATTTAGGTTTGACTTGCAGACTGAGATTTGACTTACAGACCAGAAAAAAAACAAAATGGAACAAAAACGGCCTCAAACTTGGAGATGTATCTGTCAACTCCTTCAGAAAGCTAAAACATTGAAAGGAAATGTGAAGTTGTCTTTACAGTTCATTGGCACTTAAGTTCAAAGACCCTTGGGAGGTACGTACTCAGAATATGCTTCACAGAGACTTCAAGAGAGTCAGAAAGTATTTTGATAACATTAGATACATTTGTCAGGGGACTTGAACGCACCATGGTCTTTAACAAAATTCTTATGAAGCTCTGTGTAGAAGTTTACATTAAGACTAATAATAATCCATTGACTGACAGTCCAAATTAGAATCGGTTCTCAAGGGTCAAACAATGTTATATAAATCCCAGTGATTCAATGAATGTACTATAAATAAGATTAGCAAATGGGTTTATCTCATGTTCTTTTTTGCTATGTTTAAATTAATAGTTTGTAACATGCTTTTGCCATCACCCAAATATGATGTATGTTGACAAGGTGATGTTTACTGGGATCTGTTTCATGCCCAATCTTCTGTGGAAAAGCAACTTCTGCAATAACTATCTTGTGCCACAGAAAAGCGTATGCCATTTCCATAATTAATTTGTTTGTGTTAAAAGTACTTTTGTTACTATGAAAAAGTAATCTGACTCGATGTCCTTGTGCTCAGTCCAGTGTATTATTGCAGAAAGAACTAAAATAATTGATCCATTGGGAGATGGCATGGCTTTGCTTGTATGTCTGATGTCTCAGACACATTGCTTTGAGATGTCTGGAGGGAAAACACTGTAAGAGGAGGAGATCTACATTCTTCTTAACATGTGACCAGATCCTCAGATGCAGAAATTAGCTTCCAAAAGTTGGTACATGGAGCAATATTTACGAAGATACTGGGAAGAAGAGGGCTCTTCTGAAGCCCAAGTTTATCTCTAAGATCTTTGGGTGCAAGAGAGTTTTCCTTCAGCTTTTGATTAATCAAAGCCAGATCTGCTCCCCATTGTTCTGAACATAACTGCCTTGCTAAATATGTATGTGCTGCTATTTCTTCATATCCTTAAAAACCTGACTTTCCATGTGGCCTTTAGTTTATTCCTCAGTCTACATTCTCATCAGTAATAAAATTTTAACCTCATCTAACTGTATTTATTTCCTGTTCCTCATCTTCGTTACCTTTTCCCCAACTGCAGCTTTTTTTCATTATAAGCTCATTGAGGCATGGACCTCCCTATTTTTGCCTACAGAAGTAAGCTGCTATGTATGACATAATAAAAGGTGTCAACAGTAAATAAATGCTGAAAATAGCCATTGTCTTTGGCATCCAGCCCAGTGAGCATCTACCTCACAGTAGAACTGGTGTTTTCACAATTAGTTCTTATCCAATCTTTCTGAACATCAAATTCTCATGCCAAAGCCTTTTCACGGATTGCAGAGAATTTTCTAGCCCAAACTCTCAAGGGAGAATTTTAGCAGATTCCATTTCTAGAATCCAGCATCACCTACCCTCTTAAGTTCATCCGTATCAGGGGCAAAACCAGTGAGCATGGAAACATCAATGATTGTCATTGTGGCATCCTCATGATTATCAAGATACCTAAGACAAGGGAAAGAGAGAAGTGGCAAAAGAAACAGGTAAGAAGTGGATTCACTTTTAGTTTTATCAATTTGGCTCTGGTGATGCAGTTTGGAGACAGGGTTGTGGTACTGATGATGTTATTTTAAGATTGGCAACCTTCCCTGGTGCTCAGGTGTAGGGAGAGCCTGGCTGGTGAGCCAAGCTGAAGACCCAGCATATAGGGGTTTTCCCCCCTGTAGGTGTGTGATGCAAATAGGATATCCGGCATCACATTAAAAAACAACAACAACCCTTCTGCAGCTAAAAATCCCATCTCCCTCCTTCACTTTCACCCTAGTTAGCAAGCATGTAGCAGATCATCCCCTCGACCAGGGTGGTGGTGGGGGACAGGTAGTCCTCCAGTTGTTTTTGAACTGCAGTCCCTCTGGCCCCAGACAGCATAGCTAACGATAAGGAGTGATGAAAGTTGCACTCCAACCTAGAACAGGGAGGGAAACATGCGTTTCCCTTACCTAGACTAGGTAGAATAGATGTAAGCTTGTGTGTGTGTGTGCATGCACAGGAAACCTTAGCTCTTTGAATATTGTCCTTTGGTTTCTGTCAATGTACAAAGAGCAGAACATATTCACCTGAATCTTCAAATCTGCACAACACTACACTTGATCATAGCCAAAAGGCAAATCAGAGTTAAAGTATCTCAGAATTACAAAGCACAGAAATCTTGTGGAAATATTCAGTAAGTTGTTTTCTTGCAAAGCATCCTATTATAACCCAGGTTTATCTCTAAAGCCTTCATAAAAATAGCAGTAAGTTTTATATCATACATATTGAGCATGAATTAAACACATAATATTAAATATCATAATAACAATTGTGAATTACTGCTTGAGTGGAAAGCCAACAGTTAACTTGCTAAATTTTGACCTGGGTACAAAACAAATCACCAGGACGCTCTTTAGAAAGTGGTTTTGAACTAGATATACTCTTTTTAGCTAAGAATGGGGCTGTTTGGAGTCTATGAGGAAGAGTTAAAGGCGTATTGCACTTCATCTTGTCTACCTCCCTTAGGTAAGATAGCATTGTTTTTGAAGCTCATATTGTTGAGCGATTTCATTGTCATGTGATTCTTTGTTTTTAACTACTGTCCTTTAATAAATCTTCAGATAAAATGTAATATTATGCTTTGAATTGATTCTTAGGATATCTGATCCCAACCCATTTTCCATGGGCTTGATTTGCAGCATTTAGCCCTTTGTTAGACTTGCCTTCTTATTAAAGCTCAGCATTCTTACCTGGTGCAGATTTTGATTTTGACAGCCTCTGAGGCTCCCTTGGATTGCTTCTGATCTAGAAGTTACAGCACAAGTAGAGAGAAAAATCAGTGTTTTCATACAAATTCTATGCAGAATAGCTGTGACTACATTGGGAAAACATGGTTTTTGATGAACTGATTCATATTTTCCCCTGGATCCAAGCCATCTCAAAGACTGTATCTCCCATTATGAGCCCTCTCGGGTGTTAAGATCATCAGGAGAGGCCTTTCTCTTGGTCCTGCCACTTTCACAGGTACACTTAGTGGGGGACATGGGAAGGGACCTTCTCTGTTGCTGCTCCCAAACTTTGGAACTCCCTCCCACAGGAGGCCAGGCTGGCCCCATCTTTGCTATACTTCTGCAAGCAGGCAAAAATCTTTTCCTTCACGCAAAACTTCCCTCAGTAGCCAGCTACAGTGGTGCCTTGCAAGACGGGCGCTCCGTTTAATGATGAATCCGTATTATGACAGGTTTTTGAATGGGCGAATTTCGCTGCGCGATGATCAGTTCCCTGTTTAAGGAACCGATTTTCGCTTCCCAACGATCTAAACAGCTGATCGTCAGGTTTTCAAAATGGCCACCAGGTGCTCAAAATGGCTCCCCGTTGTGTTTAGGAGCCAGTTTTCGCTGCACAGGCACCTGAAAATGGCCGCCCCTATGGAGGATCTTTGCTGGACAGTGAGTTCTTAGCCGATTGGAACACATTAACCAGGTTTTAATGCGTTTCAATGGCTTTTTCATTTTCGCTTTACGACGTTTTCGTTCTACAGCGATATCGCTGGAACCCCATTCTGCTATGAAGCTCTTGGACAAGTAATCATCCTTCAGCTTAGCCTTTCTCAGTTATTTGTTGTGAGGAGGAAGACACATATCTGATACCTGAGCTCCTCTGAGGAAAACAGGATAAACTCATCATACTGTACTAATGAAATAGCCTGAATTTCAGCCTACACAGATCCATGATGGGCATGGACATAGCCACCAGAAGTCTGGATCTGGGTAAAGAACTACAGCAGACATCAACAACAATAACAAACCCCCAGATCATCTGCCACATGAGTTGATGCAGTTCCACAAGGAGGAAAGAGCCTGAAAAAGTAACTCTTTCATGACAACTCCACAACCTCCAGCCATCAGCGTGGCCACATTTCCTGGGCAGCTGCTGTGTCTGTCCAGACTGGTGGATTCTCATAAAGCGTCACTCCCTTTGCATTCTATTTCCTGTTTGGCCTCATGAAAAAGAGATACAGGCATTTACAAATTTGGAATGAAACCTTGCACGGTTCTCCTTTCTAATCATTCCCCTAGCCCCTTCCTTTGTTTCCTTAGCCTTTTAACCATTCCTTTTTCTTCTGTTTCTGCCCATTCTGGATTAGCTTTTTAAAAAATGAGTTTGCACCATTGTTCTATCACACCTCTTCACCTAGTTAAATTAGCACATTGATTTATTTAAACAGAAACTAAACAAAGCTACTCCATGACAGGATCTCAAGATGACCTTTCTTTTCATTATCAAACTGCGGGATTTAAATCCTAGCCTACAATTTTGTAAGATAGAATATATAGTTTTTTAAAAGGACATATAGTAAAAAGTATTAAGAATACTCATGCATAGATTCATCTTGTAGTATATATATTTTCTCCAGATCAAAATTTTAAAGTCATTAGGGCTCATGATGAAGTTATATAATAGAATAAAATCTAGGCCTTTTGTCAGAACCTGGGATTTCCATGAAACCTTGGGAGCTACTGTTTGGACTTACCCAACTGAAGAGTTTCAACACTAACATCAAGACTGAATTTCTTGCACTGAACTGAATTTTCTTGCATCTTTGCATTGTACATTGTCACAATAGTCATAGTGGCTTTTCCTCGGCCTGATGCTTGTACGGTGAAGCCTTGATTGAGCTTAGTCTGAAAAATAGTCAAAGTCAGTATTCTCTTTGCTTTAATGTCATTTTTGTTGTTGTTGCTTTTTTTATTTATTTATTACTACTGTTCTATTGCTATTTGTGTTGCTATTTACCTTAAAAGTGCCACCATTTACCACTGATATCACTCGGGGTTGTTGTTGTTTAGATCTTCTTTATGTATGCACATAGTAATAAATAGAATAGGTTTACTTAGCTAATTGCAACAAAAAAAATAAACCCCCTAAATCAAACATGATATTTACTTTGTATATTTTCAAGTAGCCTGACATCCCTTTTAACATGGTTCTCTAAGTATATTTAACTGCCTTCTGTGAAAGGATTGAGATACTAAGAAAGAAAAACGAGAGGTGCAGAGTAACAGCATCAGCAAATGGAGGGAGGTTTCAATGCAAATCTGTAGGAGTTGTGTGCTAAGGGAAGGGATGGAAAGGGAAGGCCTGCTAAAGAACTGATCCCCATAGAGCAAGCTTGGCTGGGTGACAGGGCATGTCCAGAACTGAACTGATGTTTCTGAATTCTTGTATACTCTTGAGGATACCTAGAAAAAGCATTTCAGCAACACCGAGGGAAGTACATGAACTGATGGACTTTAGACATCATCAAGCTGGACTACAACTGAGAATAACTACTACTTGCGAAACTCACCAAGCAACATAATAACTTGGAAGTAATTCAACTGTGATAGGCTGCTTATTATCTGGTGAATTAACCAACATTTATCCCAATGTTGGGATGAGGATGGCTGAATCTCTGTGTGGCCTTTCTCTACCACCACCACCCCCAGCCAATAAGGAAACCTGATTTCCAAACAGGCAATATGAGTAGGAATGGCAGTGGGAAGAGGGTTCATTCAGGGGCTACCTCTTGTCCTGGAGGCTGAGTAGAAAATTCCAACCAAATGCCACCAGGGATGAGGCATTTAAAAACACCCTCCTCTGAACTGGTTGAAACCTGCTCTCAAGTCATCTTAAGCAATGTGCCTGGTGGATCTCTGCTATTCATGAAAGCTTGCATTTAATGTTCAATATTTAGTAGTCTAAATAAAGGTATCTCCTCTTCTACTTTTGCATTGTGTAAAGCAGGGGTTCCCAACCCCCGGTCCACGACCTGGCAGCAGTCCACAGCCTAGGCAGGACCGGGCCACGGACACAAATCTCCTGCCCCCCCATGAGCACTGCCGTGCGCATGCACGCAAGTGCGCTCTGCCCCCTCTGCCATGCCCCCACCCAACAGTTGGGAAAAGGTTGGGGACCACTGGCATAAAGGACCACATAGCTATCTCCGTTTTGTTTTTGTTGTTTTTTTGTTTTTGTATTCTGCAGTCTTCTTAAAATGAAGTAGCATACTGTTTCTGGGACCAGGAAGCTGCATTGTGTAAAGCAGGGGTTCCCAACCCCCGGTCCACAACCTGGCAGCAGTCCACAGCCTAGGCAGGACCGGGCCACGGACACAAATCTCCTGCCCCCCCATGAGCACCGCCGTGCGCATGCACGCAAGTGCGCTCTGCCCCCTCTGCCATGCCCCCACCCAACAGCTGGGAAAAGGTTGGGGACCACTGGCATAAAGGACCACATAGCTATCTCCGTTTTGTTTTTGTTGTTTTTTTGTTTTTGTATTCTGCAGTCTTCTTAAAATGAAGTAGCATACTGTTTCTGGGACCAGGAAGCCTATTTTAGTGGCTGAAGAGGTGATAAAGCCATGATGGTTAAATGTTGCAAATACCTTGTTGGTCACACTGTGATGCTACCTTCCAGGTCAATGGTACAATCATGAAGCTATGTAGTGGTGCCTGGTGACTGGAAAGGGTGGTTCTTAGACATGGGGATGAACCTTGGCTCAAAGTTCATTCCCTACCCCCACCTCCCCAGCCAATGACTCACTCACCAGTCAGAGAAAATTTCTCTCTTCCTCCTCTTCAGATGTTTGACCACTCCCTGACAGAATAATGGGGTTAACTATCCTGCCTCCCTGTCTGAGTGGGCAATCAGCTAAGAAGGCAAGGCAGGGAAGCCCATGCTCCTGCCAGAGACTAGTTGAACAGCTGAAGAGGAACACACACTGGCTGTGTTTCTCTTCAGCCGGGGGCGGGGGAATAGAACACATGGCACCTCTGGTGCTGAGCATACAAACTGGCATGAATTTCCAAACCAAGGTTCATACCCATCTCTAGCGGTTTTGTTTGATGAAATGTTACCAGAGAGTATCCTGCACTTGTTGATGATTCTTTATGGAAGGACGTTCAAGGGGGAGGGCAATCCCTCCACTATTGAAGGCCATAGTCTATCTTTCAGTGAGAAGGAAGCCATTTTCCTTGCCGTTAGTGTCATGAGGCAGGAGAGCAAGAAGATGGTGGATTAAGTACAAAAGCGGACTATTGAAAAGAACAAAAATGTTTTAAGAACACAACAAAGAGATATGAGGAGATAACAGATACTAAATCAGATTGCTTTTATACTCTTGAGAGTTGGGTGGGTAGGCTTTTAATTTTTATGTTGGAAATGAGTAATGACTTCTCATTAGACGGGCGGTATGGAAATTTAATAAATGAATAAATAAATTGAAAAAACTTTTCCAAGAAGGTGATAAAAGTGGAGAAAGAGATGCTGGAAAAGGAAAACAAAGAGAGCTCAGGCAGATGTTCCTGGATGAAAGCAAGGTAAACCTGGCAGTAGAGCATAAGATCACATGTAGAAGGCAATTGATTATGGATGTGTGGATCTTGGGTAGTTATAAAATCTAAAGCCATCCTTCTTGATGCCTTCTACCACAGAGGGAATCCCTATTATCTGGAATTTCAATTGACAATGGGATCCACTGTGGTTACACACATGCACCTGCCACTATCATGTCTAGTTGGTCATGAAATCCAAGCAGTACATCAGAAGTAGCTACACAAGTGCACTCCTGAGTCTACTTTCTATGTGAATAGGCCTGAGCCAGAAATAGGTACTGTCAGAGGTCTGTCCCACTGTGGAACTTCCTTCCTGAAGCAATGAGCCCAGCAACATTTCTTGTAGGAAAGGAAGGCATTTTAGGGGTGTGTGGGCTGGAGTGTTAAGAGTTCAATTCATTGTTTCTTGTGTCCTCCAGTGGGCTGTTGTTTGCCTTACTGGTTTTAATTCTTAGACTACTTTAAAGTGTTTTTAAAAATGCCTTAACTGACTGATTCAAACTATTTAAATCACAGTGGATTTTTAAAATATTATTTTACCTCTCCTCTCCCCCCTCAGATCTGCCACAATGAATACATTGGATACAGAAATAGTTAAACAAACTAAAAAGCCAACTGCAGATCTGTGGCACAGAAAAGGGAAGGAACCCCTCCACTGCTGTCTTGCTTCTTGTCCACATTCATTGTAGTTCCCCCTGTTCCCGAATACCTGAATAGGACTACCCAGTGTCTGCACAACAGATAGCTATTCAGACTTTCACTTGTGTTTTTGACTGTTGGTTTCACCAAGCCTTGTGTCATCTCTTCTTACCCACATTTAGTCCTCACAGTTGGTGGATTAGATATAAAAACACAGAATAACTAGTCTTTTCTGGAGTGGGAGATAATGTATTTTGTAATTGTTAATAATTTTTTTTGTACCTCCGCTGTTCGGGCCAGGAGAGCAGTCTCGTAGTTAATCCTATAAGTAATTGGTGCATTGCGCTCTGGCAACTGAACAGAAACATCCCAAGTTCAGGTCCTTATGAATGGAAACGTCAATTTCATACTGGGCAAGTGCTTGGAAGACCATGACGGTCGACTAGAATGGGAAAGAGTAAGATGAAGTCTGTCAGTTTACCTTGAATTGAGAGATCTAGATAGAGACTTAGGAACTGGAAATGTGGTGACAAGAGCTTACTAGAGAAAGGGCGTGGCCCTTTATTTTGGCAGCAGGCATCTTTAATACAAGTACAATAGCAAAGACCTGGTAATCTCTGAAGGAAACATACACAATGTGGGTGAATGATAGACATAGAGGCATATACTTCTTTAAACATTCATGCATTTATGGCTGTTAGCACAACGTAGTGTGATGCAGGAAGAAGATAAGAGCTGTTATTACTTGGAATGGTATTTTGTCACTGAAGGAGAGCGTAAAACCTGCTGAAATTGCCTCCTCTATATCACTATGAAACAAAAAGGAACCCTGTCCTCTTTTTCATCTCTGTCTTCTCATAGTTGCCACAAGCAGGTTGAATGAAAACAGAGAGACATAAATTTACCACCTCAGACAGTAGGCAATAATGTAAATACTCATTTTTCAGCAGCCTGACTTGAGAAACAGCTATTCAGAAGCCTGAATTCTGTAGCAATGGGACAGTAAAAAAACAAACAAACAAAAACACTCACCTGAGTGTGTCCATATGTTCCCCCATAATACTTCTGCGCTACCAGCCATTTGACTATGGGTGTAGTAGCCTCATATTTCTTCATTTTCAACAAAGCCAGCAAGCCATAGGAGGTACCTTCAATGTTGTAGGTGTGAGCACCATATTCTTCCCAACGATTCCCACCTAATTACAAGGAGAAAAAATCTGAGATCTTGAGAGCATAAGAGTTCATTATCTCAAGGAGCTACCAAATTTTTAATTAATTCCTAATTTTTTATTAAAAGATTGTCAATATATTGCAATGCAGAATATATTGAAAACTGACTCACCTATTTCCTCCCTACAGATTCACCCCCCTCTTCACTGGAAAAGCTTCTGTAATGCCATGGGATGAAATTAAATCAATCACACACACACACACACACACCAAGAAATCAGATCCAAAAACAGCATTTATAACGATAACAATGGAAAATTAAGGACAGCACTCATGTTGCCATTTTTTGATAACCAAGGAGAATATCCTTCACCCTACCAACACTTTCCTTTCAAGTCCTTTCAGGTAATGTTTTTAAAAAATGGCAATTGCGAAGGGGTGGGGTTGCTGCAAAGCAGGGAAGGTAGTGCCTTTCAGATCTCTGAGAAGGCATCCCTTTCCATCAACCAGATAATGGGGGCTGAAATGCTCCACTGTGGGTGTCATCAGGAAAGATAACACCCCAGAAGAGTTTGGGACCAAACAGGAACAGATAGGTGAAGGAATCTGCTTGTTTGCTCCCAAAGTCTCAACAAGCTGTTAATTTGTAGATTACAAATGTGGATTACAAATTTGATACATAATATCTGACCAAGAAATCCTGGGAGTTTACAGCCAGACGGAAAAACAAACTGTGGATTACAAACTTGTTTTTGTTTTTCTTTTTCTTCTCTTGCTTACTTTGGGAAGTTGGCTTGTTGTTATACCAATTTGTGAATTACAAACATCGCAGATTTGGGAATACAAAACTGGATTACAGATTAACTTCCTCCCCCACTCCTCAGAGCTATATAACTGGAAATGTATGGAGGTGAACTGCTGGACTGTGCCTGATTTTGTCCTACTGAATTGGGAGTTCTGAACTTTAGATATTAAGGAGGTAATAGCACCATCTGCTGGAGATTTAGATTATAGCAAGTTTTTGCAAGTTTTCTTTCCTTTTTTTGGTTTACTCTGATATATTGGAATATATATCAAAGTTGGGAGTACCAGATCTGTTAAACCTGTGAAACTGATTATACTTAAAGGAGCTAATATTACTAATATGGTTTTGTTACACTAATAGGGATAAAGTTAAAAACAAAGATATATATATAGACGAAGATAGTAGGATGCTATATATATATTTACTTATTAATAGCTTTGAAGATAGACAAATTTAATTGAAATTATAATGGCACAGAGGGGAAAACAGGTTGGCAAAGGGAGTCCCCAAATTGAATCAAGTGTCACAAAGTTGATGACAGATGATTCTGAATTAAGACAGGTGGAACAGAGGATGCAAGTCTACTTTTCATCTGAACTGGACAGATATACACAACAAATTAGACAAGATATACAAGCTTTAGACAAAAAAGTAGAGGACTTGGGAACCCAAGTGAACATTCTGAAATCAGAACACTCTGAAAACCAGGAAAACCATCTTGAAGCTAACAAAGCAAGTTAATATGCAAGAAAACAGGCTGGCTGAATTGGAGTGCAATGTAGGAGAGCAAGATTTAAACATAATACAACAGGAAATAACTTTGACTTATCTTTCAAAACATAGAAGAGGAACAGGAAGAGGATTTAAGAGCAATAATAACACAATTCTTCATTCCTATTGTAGGATTGGCTCCTGAAGAGAGAACAGAATCTGGACAATGTATGGAGGATCTCAACTGCTTATACAGGAAACAATCGTAAGCCAAGAGAGATTCATGTAAAAATTTTAAGGAGCTCTTTTAGAAATCAAGTTTTGGCAAATTTAAAAGAGTAACAGATGGTTTGGAAAGGTCAAGATTACAAAATATTGAAGGATATTCCTTGGAGAGTCAAAAATAAAAGGGCAGGTTATAAACTACTAACAGAATTTTTGACGAAAAAGCAGATCAGCTATCGATGCATTGTCCCAGAAGGTGTGCAATTCCACTATCAAGGTCAGTGGCAAGATATAAACACCACACATAAAGTGGAGGCTTTCCTGGTCAGATATGGAGGAAGAAACGAGAAGAAAATAAAAGAGGAAGAAGTTCAGAGGAAAGATACAATAGAAGGCAGGGAATCAGCAGGCTCTGAAATAGCCCAGGAAAGCGAAGAAGAATCCGAAGATGAGGAGGAGGAGGAGGAAACCAAACAGACAAAAAACCCTAAAGAAGTAGTACACTTACAGACCAGATCTACAAGGAAGAGGGAGGACTACGGAGGTAGTAAGCAAACAGGAAATGTCTAAAAATCAGCTGAGACTAATCTCTGTTAACTTTAATGGACTGAACACACCTGGAAAACAGAAAAATAAAATATCAGCTTGAGAAACTGAATTTGGATGTTACATACATACAAGAAACCCATATATATATTTTTTAAAAAAGACTTGAAATATTTGGAAATGCCAAATTTAGGGAGGTTCTTCACTGCATCAGACAAGAAAAAAGAGAGGAGTGGCAACATTTATAAAAGAGGATCTGAAACTCAAACCAATTTTTGCATCACAAGATGGAAGAATACTGATGATAGAAATTCAAAGAGGTAATGGAAAAACACTGGGAGCGAATATTTATGCTCCAAATAAAAATCAAGATAAATTTTTCAAAGAACTACAAAAGGAGTTGGCAGATAAAGGATACAAAGATATTTGCTGTGTAGGCGACTTCAGTGCAGTTCTGGATAGAAAATTGGACACAAACATTCAAACATTAGGAAAAGAGAAAAAAGAAAGTAGGACTATATAATCCAAAACCTTCCAGTCTATAGCAGAAGAGTTTCACTTGGTAGACGCATGGAGAGCAACACATGTAAAAGAAAATGATTATACTGGTCCTGTGCATTTTATAAAGACCCTGGGGGCTATGAACAGACTAAAAGTGAGCACTTTGAACTTTTAAGCCTGGTTGCCCATGGCAAAATGGAAGAAATAATGATGAGCTGGCTGGCTGAAAATATGGAGGTAAGCATCCTTCAGGTTGATAACAGCAAGGCAGTCTTTTTTCCAAAGAAGTAGCAATACCAACTCTAGTGAGACCATTCTGAATTTCCTGGTCTGTATATAAAAACTATGTCTCTCAAATCCAAGATGGGTCTCAGGCTGCTATCTTTCTTTGGGACAATGAAATAATGGGAGTAGAACCCATTCTGGATGAGCTCCACCAAGATGGGTTGTATGGCATCCTTCTCCAGTACAGTAATTATTCCTTCTTAGAGTATCTGGGATGGTGTAGTTCACTGGTTCTTAACCTTGGGTTACTCAGGAGTTTTGGACTGCAACTCCCAGAAGCCTTCACCACCAGCTGTCCTGACTGGGGTTTCTGGGAGTTGCAGTTCAAAAGCATCCGAGTAACAAAGGTTAAGAACCACTGGTGTAGTTGATCTGATAAAACCTGTTCAAGGGTGAGAGGTAAATTTAATGAAGTAACCCTGTTCGATTATGGAAAGTACATATTTGTTGGCGGTGATGGTGCACCAAGTTAAAAAGTAGGGTGCTAAGGTTGTGGTTGTGTGTGATGTTACAGAAGACAAAGGAGGAGGAATCTCAAGTCAGCAAGGAACCAAATAGGCTGCTTTGATTTTTCATTGAGACGTTTAGACCTTCACAAAGGTTTGTAACTTCGACATTGAGATTGATGGCTATAATGCTGTAGTTTGCGAATGCTTTTGGCAGTCAGCAGGGTATGTGGAAGATTGAGAGTACTGTATGTCGTTTTCCAATAAGATCAATATTGTCGCTGATGATTGTGTGTAAAAACGCATCCTTTTGGTAGTGTTCTCTTTTTAAAAAATCCATATCATCATCAGTTCTCTCATTAAAGAGGCCTTCCCTGTCAATAAGTGACCTGATGTCTTCTGTTAGGCCTGCTGTTCTGAGCTAGGAAGCTTTCTCAAAGCCACTGCCACAAACATGGTTTTTTTAATGCAGAGTCTATGGCATACCTTGCGGAAAGCATTTGTTGATTGGCAAGGTGTCTTGAAAAGTTTGAGTCAGAATCTTTTTGTTGTCTGGGAGTGGTATCATCCAAAAATTCTTGTTCATGCCTTTCAGGTGTGTTGGTGTGTATGGGATGACTATAAGAGGCAACAGGAAGTTGGGTAAGTAGATCTTTTGGGTCTAATTGACAGTGAGAGTGAGTATGTTTAGTCTTTTTTGACACTGGTTGTGAATGATGTGATGGTCTACCATTGAACCTCCATGGAAAGGATACAGTTGTGGAGTGGCTGCTAAGTGAGGATGTATAATGGGAAGAAGATGGATGCTTAGAGGTTTTTGCATGCTTTGGTATTGACAGTAATGCTGACTGAAGTCGGTGCCATGAGGGCAATTTTCTATTCGATTTATGTTTCATTAGTTGTCTCTGTTTCACATCGGAGTGAATCGATGAAAAGGAGGGAGTTGGAAAATGCAATACCAAGCATTCAATCCTTCTTGGGGTCAAAGCAGGTGAGGGTGACATTGAATGTTCCACATACCTTGACACTGAGCATTCTTCATGCCTCAATGTTGAGGTTCAAGACATTGGTTCCTGCTGGCAACGTTCTGCAAATGAAATGGCCTGAATAGTTTTAGTTTTTCAGCTTTTAAGAGATTGATGAGGCTGAAGTGACCTCAAAGCAAGCATTCATGTTCATAGCGGGGTTTCGGAAACTGGTCTTGGTTGCTTCCATAGGGTCAGTGCTGATTCTCATTGCCCACTCTCTGGCAATTTCAGCCTGGAGTGCCCATATGGATGCATTGGTGAGGCTGGCATTATACTCCCAATCCTGGGAGTGTGGCAGAGGAGGAGAGAAGGACGGATGGCTGATACTCTCCTCCTCAGAAACTAATCCTAGACATATAACCTCTTCCTGGTATTTCTCATTAGGTTTATGGAAAGGGAAAACCATTGCAGGTTGTTCTAGTACCTTCAGTGATGGTGATAATTCGTCTTTCAATGGTCTGGGGTTTGGCTTTTAGATATTATTATTAGTAGTAGCAGTAGCAGTAGCAGTAGCAGTAGCAGTAGTAGTAGTAGCAGCAGCAGCAGCAGCAGCAGCTGGAGGAGGAGGAGGAGGAGGAGGAGGAGAGATTGAAACTGATGAAGCCTTAGCAGCAGATGGTAGTGGAACTTGATGTGACAAACCCAGACCTACTGGGATATGTCACACAGTTACACTAAGCTGCCACCAACCATTCCCTTTAAGAAGTCACACAGACCAGGGATGGATTTTTAAACAATAAAAAGAATAAGGTTTATTTTAAATACACACAGGGAAAAATAAACAATCAGGTGAATAAAATAAAGTAACGTGGCTTATTCTCACTCATACAAGCATACAGTTTGGTTCACCCAGAACCCTTAACTTGAAGCACAGACCCTGAACCTATCAGTTCTGGCTAAACAACAGACACCTGAACCTATCAGGTTGGTACTCTGACACACAGTAGTACCCTGTCTGACCCACAGACTCCCACAACAGCTTCTTCTTCCCAGCTGCTGCTTCGTCACATCCCAGTGTCTCTCAGCATCTCCTCTAGTGTGTCCCCCTCACCACACAGGCATCACATATTTATACAGTACAGCCCCTCCTCCTGATGTCCCGCCTTCCACTCCCCATAGGATGGAACTTTCCCTCCAAACCCATGACAGACAGGTAACATCAGTGCTGTATGTAACACTTGACACTTGGGAGTAGGCAGTATAGCGACAAATTTGACAGTTGATGTGTCTGCATCTTTGGGCCTCTGTTTGTCAAGATCCTGCTTAGCTTCCTCGGCTATAACCCTTTCCATTACAGTTTTTAGAGAGTATTCTACACACCAGCAGTGCAGTGGGAATGAAGGTTGGTTGAAGAGTGATCTAACAGCGACATCCTTCATTTCTGTGATGTATTCTGTGGGTACAAAGGGGAACACCTGGAGCATTCTTAAAGGAACAGAAGCGACCAAGCTTTCTAAAAGGACATGCAGCTTGGACCTCTCCCTCCCTCACCTCACCACAGCATCTGGGGTGAGCGGTTAGCCCAAGGGCAGAGTGGGCAAGCCTCAAATGAAATGATTTTTAAAGCCTGTGTAGATCTCTCAACCAACAAAGCTTAAACATTCAATAAAATGCATTAAATTTCCAAGAGGAGCAGTATAAAAATGGAACACCTTTACCGTGATTTCAAGGAGAGACAGATAGCTATTCATTTACCATGTGACTGTCACATGACTTTAAACTGCAGCCCCCCAAAAATCCTATGCGTATTGCAGGGTTAATCAATAATGCTGATAAGCCCTGAGTTAGGTTTCATGGGAGAGCCAACCTTTGTGGTCTTGGGAAAACTGCACAGTTCCAGAAGTGCCTCCCGAAGGAGGGGATGTTAAAACACTTCTGTGCACTCTCTACCTAGAAAACTCTGAAAAGAGCTGCCATAATTCAGAACTGATTTGGCAGCACACAATTATTGTTATTAAGGGTGTCTCTGCACGGTTTATAAATGCACAAGCAACATATCCTGGAAACAGGTGGGGATTCCAACAGCAGGCTGCGGAACCCCTAAGTGTAATTTAAGCCATCTCAGATTGTATTCTCAGCTCTAGCTGACTCTATATACAAATCTGTGTATAAATATATTGTATGCCACAACTCTGTAGCTCTCAAAATGGGAATGTGAGTACTAAAAGCAAGTTAAACGACATGTAAATGAGCAGCTAAGGTGGTACAGAAAAACTTGGACTGAAAAAGCCAATGACCAGAGTTCATTTGAATATTTATACCTGTGTAAGTTCAATGGCATAAGTCAGAGCACTAATTAATATGTCTCAAATTGAATTCCTAAATGTGTGCCAAGTAAGGACTTGTTAAGTAGCAGTTATTTGCTGCTACACTTATGCAGGTGCAAATATTCAGTTAGATTCTGGCTAAAATGAGAACTTCCCCAGATAGTTCTGCCAGCTCCATTTCAGAGTCAAAGCAAACAATATTTTTAACATGTTTTTATAAGTGTTCCTCAAGTGGTAAGAAATAATAGCATGTCATGGCACTATTTTCTTCAACATTTATGTACCATGCATTTATAAGTGCTGTGACTGGCCACTGGAAGGTTAACAAGTTCTCAGACAATCTGAAGAAAACCGGTTTTAAGAAGGAAACGAGAGTAATCATAGGAAATCTACTTTCCCTGTAATGTCCAATTTTACCCTCAGAAGGCTGAGGAACCTCACTAGATGTCTGCAGCAAGTGGCCAATTCATATCAGAGGAGAAGGGGAATTTTAAGGTCTTGTAGTGGCCCTGATTAAAGCTTTAAAGAAATTCTGTGCCAAAATTGCCCTCACATTTTGCAGCACCATTTGTGGATAGTGAAATGTTTGACATTTTGGGTGTCTGGGAATGAACTTACTTCTGGACACATGGCATGCCTTCCAAGTGGCTACAGGTTCATGGTGGCTAATTCCCCATCTCTCCCACCATTTTCAGCCAATTCCTGACCCCACTCAATCTCTCTTCAGCTTTACCTCTCCATCTCACTCTACCCAAATCCTGGGCTAAGGGTGTATAAGTAATAGGTCAAAAATCAACAACTCCTGTCCTTGGAAAATGAAGGTTGCAATGGGTTGGGTTTTCTTAAGTCCTGAAGGCTGAAGTTTGGCTCACTGCTAGGCCAGGAAGGCACAAAAACGTGGCAATGCAGAAAGACTCTGAGAATAAGATCACACTGTCAGAGGTGACTGTCTCTTACAACATCTATCGTTGTAATGCATTGCTGCTTACATTGATGCGGTCTCTGCAGATCTCTTTGGACTCCAGCAGCGCAATCAGGACAAAAGCTGTTAATGCCACCTCTGGTTCAGCAGCGTCACCTTTATTATAGCCTCCCTAGAAAGAAGGCAAGAAAACAGCATTTACATATATAATTTTAAATTTAAAAGGTAGTGAGAGCTCTGATGCTGTAAGAAGGGATGCAGTATATAAAAAAGAAAGTCTGAAAATATAAAAGTCAAACTTGATGATACTTTAATCACATTTTTTTATTTACAAAAGTGCTCCTCTATCATGGTGAAAGACATCTATTTGTCCCAGCTTTTGATGTTCCTCTCACATATCATGCATTTACTGGGCTTTGTTTTTAGATTGGCCATTAGAAGGTAAACACATGCTTAATTTACAAGTCTGATTCGTTGAGACGCCTATGTTTGAGAAAATCCTATTGTGGGAGCAAAATCAGGTGACTCATGCTTGCTTCCCTGCAGGAGCTTCAAGCAGTAAAAAAAAATCTTAGAAAACTTACAAGACAAACATACAGGGCTATTAACAATTAAACAGGGTTTTTAAAACACACAAATTGTTTCAGAACAGAGCAGTTTTGTCTTGTGGCCCCAAAGGAACTAGAAAGAGGGGGACTCAGCAAAAGAAAGACAGGGGTGAGTCATTTATAAAAGGAAGCTCCTTTGGGAAGGTGGGGAGCACCATCACGCTTTGATTCTGTCAGACTTAGTACCTTCTTTGTAGGTAAAATAAGCATGAAGACTAATACATCTGACTCTTGATGACTCCTACTTATTTCTCTCAGAAGTCAAATCACAACTTTCTCTCCCAACATCATGGTGGTGTTTAACCACTACCTCACTCTGAAAGCCTTCAGAAGCTTATGTGAGGATGGGCCTCTTAGTCCTTGAGAGCACCAGAGGATACTGGTGACTTCCAGGCAAGGCTAGGAAAGACGGAATCTTGCCTGAGAAGGCTTGGAAAGCTCCTGCCCATCAGATTGCACAATACTGAGCAGATAGAACCGTGGTTTGTTCCGGGGGGGGGGCAGTTTCCATGTTGCTGTTTTCTTCCTAGTTTTAAGCCTCTCTTGCACAGTCATTCCCTACAGTATGTCACATCCACTTCACTGTTCTAATCCTCATTACCAAAGCAGTCCTCTACAGATAGCACTATCTTCTCGTTCATCTCCCCTTATATATGCCTTTGCATAGAAACAGAGCAAGATGCCTTACATCTCCTCTAGTCTAGGTGCCACCCCACCACTGAGCTGCACTCACCCCCTCCCCATAAGCACCCCTGACCTTGTTTTGCAGCATCTCACCTATTGCCATTTCTTTGTCTTCTGTCTTTCCATTCTCTTTAAGCATATTTCCCATTTTGGACATTGCATTCACCTCCTTCAAACCTCTTGAGATCTACTGTCTTTTGTTTTTAGGAGAAATTTATTCACACTTATTTGTCTTCTCCTTGCTATCAGAACTCCCAGAGAATAGAGGAGTTCCTTTTTTGAACTATTTGGACTACTGTCAATGCTGGCTGGGAAATTCTAGGAGTTTTAGTCCCCCCAAAAGGTAATATTTTCAAGCTCTGGAATCCTCTATTATTTGTATTGCCATCCCTCATCTTTGTTTCCCCTTTGTGGCTCCCTGGCTAAAATGTAGTTTGTAAATTAATTCCTGTTATGATCATTGTGAAAACTAGATTTTTCACAAGAAATGCCATTCAGAGCAGGAAAAAAACATACCGTCATTGTTCCACTGAGCACAGGGGCAACTTCTTGGAAAACCCCATCTGGCTTTTGCCTCTCCAGAACCAACCACTTTACCCCTCCACAAATGACATCCTTGCTAATGGTAGACACAACTTTAGCAGCCATGGCAAAGACCTTTACAACGTACGCTGTTAGCCTGCAAAGAACATAAAGAATCAGCCCAACCATCTCAAGAAAGATCTTAATATAATTGGCTGTACACCTGATCTTGTGAGCCAAACATGGCAAGGTGGTTGTTAGCAAGGAAGGGTCCTCTGAAGTCATGTACTAGTTTTTTCAACAATATCAGGAACAGACAAGATGAAAATACAGTAGTGCTCCCCTCACATCTATTCACTAACACTGGGGGAAGAAGGAAAGTGATCCAGATTACTAGAGTAATAATGGATCAGCTTTGAGGAATAGCATCTGCTTGGCACCAGATGACAATCACAGACATAGATGGGACTTCCATGAGTGTTGGTGTTGAACAGGGAGCAAGAAGGTGTGAAGGGAAGTTCCTGATTCAGACTCTTTCCAAGCAATCTTGATCTTACCAAGTACTAGATGTGCGTCCTATATATGCGGCATACGAATGGTCTGGTTTCTTATATGCCAACTCCTGGGTATAACCTAAAATATAAGGAGAACAAGGAAAGCTCAGACAGCTCATAAAAACACACATGTTCATCTAAATGTGGAAAGACAACAGCACAAGTCCCCCTGACACACGCACACAGAGAGAGAGAGAGAGAGAGAGAGAGAGAAGTGTTTCACTGTCGCATCTTTCCTTTCCACTGAAGGGAGGGGGGCAAAGGGGAGCCTGTAGGTCCTTTTATATGCTCAGGGCCCTTAAGCTAGGCCTCCCATAGCACCCCAATATTAGGTTTTAAATAAAGGTATTTTGGAAGTCCCTAGGAGTGGTGATTTTCCTAAAGAAATTGGATGCAGGGCCCACAAATCCCCTCAGCGGTTCCTCCTCCCACAAAAAAAAAACACCTGAAAATGTAATTCTCAAAATGCGAATCTGCTATTTTCCCCTCCCCCATTTTCAGGGCTAATGTGACCTGTGATGGGTCTTGGACAGTGGACAATTAGACACAACACGCGTGCACCTGGAACTGCCAAAGTGTTTCATTTCACTTAGTTATAGGCTTTGTTTGTTTGTTTTTGGGTTTGATTCATGTTTCCATTTCTCTGAAGACTCCACTTTTCATTCCAGCCAGTTGCTCAGTCAGGCGACACCAACCGACGTTCGCTAAGGAATCGTCGGTAGGGCGTCCCTGGTTGCTCTACCCAGAAACTGCAAGACCGGAACAGAAGGCAGCTCAAGAGAGGAGCACCGGCCTCCACTCTGGCGCCTGATTCCCACACTTTGAGAAAGAGTCCGCTTCCAACCTGGCACCTCAACCTTTTCTAAATCATCAGAAGAGACATATTGTATTTTTTGTGTGAGAACATTATGACAAGAGCTCATTTAGCCAGCAATTTATCATTTCGCTCAGTAAAAACAGGCACAAAGGGGTATAAGTACTCCCAGTGGTACTCACATGTTTTCCCAACAGTTGTGGGATTTTATCAAGGATTGGGGCCTTAGCAGTCAGAACATAAAAGTTCTCACATGCCTCTCATCTTCCAGGGACACATGAGACCACAGTGCCTGCTAAATCTAATGTATATATGTGAGAAAAAGTACTACAATAAAAAGGTATCTGTCGTCACTTGAAAGAAGAATCCTTCTAAATACATGCTAGTTATACCACATACTATAGTTTACCTTCAGAGTTTGGCACCACGGCACTGCAACAGAATTATTAAGTGCCCATCATGAAAGAAATTGAGCTGTTCCAGCCAGTCAGACTGGTTCAGCATCCTTCATCTAGGCCCTAAATTCAGCCAAAATATAGGATGAATGAATCAACAGACATATTGCATCAGTTGGTGGAAGAACAAGCCCTGAATGACTGCTTGCCTTACCTTTCGTGATCTGGCTGAGTGCATGATTTCTCCGATCCACCCCAAGCTTCTCCCATTGGCCTGTGGCGTCAAGGTAGTGAGTGGCGATAACGGTTGGTGTCATTCTGATCATGTTCTGCTCCCCACAGCCGGAAGGGGTTATGATGAGATGTTCCAGATTGGTTCCATCAATTGAGTCTTCAACAATCTGAGCCACAGGGTCACCTAATGTCACATGCAGAGAGATACTAACATTATTATATATTTAATTTATTTATTTTATTAGACTTGTATATGACCCATCTAGAACATGTCTACTCTGAGCGGTTTACACAAAAAATAAACTATGAAAATATAAATATACTAAAAATACGACTCAAATTAACAACAGAATCAAAGATGGAAAAGAGAAAAGCAAGAGAAAAATAGACTAGATGATGGCTGTAGGGAGGCCTGCTTGTATATTAATCTGGGTTCAGGGAGGAAAATTCTGATT